GTATGATCCTGGTTTGTGGAGGAGGGTGGGCCCACAGCTTCCTGCCAGCCAACTGGACAGGCCTTTGTCCCCTTGCCATCTTGTTTCCGGACATAGACATTATACCGGGCGGTGAGCCCCTCCCTATTCCTTCCTTTGATTATATAGGAGGTAGGAACAAAAGAGCAATTCAAATGATCCCATTGGTGGGCTTAGGAATAACTGCAGGAATAACCACAGGGACCACAGGGTTGGGAGTGGCCACTCATATGCACAGGAAACTCTCCCTACAATTAATCCATGATGTACAACTTCTCTCTGATACCATCCTAGACATCCAAAAACAATTAGATTCCCTGGCTGAGGTGGTCTTACAAAATAGGAGGGGACTAGACTTACTAACTGCCGAAAAGGGAGGGATATGCTCATTTTTACAGGAAAAATGCTGCTTTTATGCCAACAAATCTGGAATCGTCCAAGATAAGATTAAAAAGCTCCAGAAAAATCTAGAAGAGAGAAGGTGAGAGCTCCAAGAGAGTCCACTCTGGACTGGTCTACACGGCCTTTTACCCTATCTCCTCTCCCTACTTGGCCCCGTTTCTGTGTTCCTCTTTGCCCTGTCGGACCCTGTGTGGTCAGATGGCTCATGGCATTTGTCAGACAGCAGATAGAGGCTCTCCTGGCTAAACCGATACAGGTCCATTACCATCGCCTTGATATCATGGATCGAGTGTTAAAAGGGACACGTTGCTATGATGGCGCTACTAGCCATCCCCCTTGAGAGATGAATTGGACAGTCAATGACGGGTACATGAGAATCCCCCTTTGATGGCAACCTAAGACAGGAGGGTAGTCTAATGCTACTACCTTATCCAATGATGGGTAAGCCCTTGGGGAAGGATACTCCAACCTAAGACAGGTGCAGTTCCCTAAGGGTCTAGCAACCTTCGATCCCTAAAACTCTATAAAGTAAAAAAGGGGGACCTGTTGGGAGCCTGAGGCTCAGCCATTTCTTGGGGCTGCTGGCAGACCTGAGTTGGTGACCTTTCCATTCAGTCCACAGCCTTGGGCCACAACCTTGGCCCGCGGCCTTATTCTCCTTTCCAGTAAATAGCCCTGTTCTCCGTTCATCAGTAGATTCCTCCCTTAGAGTATGTCAGGGCCCCTGTGTTCTGACCGGTTTGATTACTCACCCTTTACTTCTTTGTTCTCATTCTCTTTTTAAACTCATGCTTGTGCTTTAATAAACGAGACTTGATCAGAGCCCTGTCTTGTCTCCATTTCTCTTGCCGCTTGCCTCATCCATGTCCCCACTCCCCAATCCAGGTACTTCGTGGCAGTTTCCATGGGTCGGGACTGAGTCATGCTGCAGAGTGGACTCCCGCAGGCGTTGGATCCCCTGGAGCTGGAATTACAGATGGTTAGGACTGGGAACCAAACTTGGATCCTCTACAAGAGCAGCCAGTGCTCTTAACCCCTGAGCCACCTCTCCAGCCCCTCTTTTTTAGTTTTGTTGTCTTTTTGAGACAGGGTCTTCCTGTAGCCCCAGTTGGCCTGAAACTCATTATGTAGACCAAGCTGGCCTCAAACTCACAAAGATTCAACTACCTCTGCCTCTGGAGTGCTGGAATTAAAGGAATGTACCACAACATCAGGCTGTAAATAAATTCTTGATCACAGGAACAGGCTTGGGGCTGGTAAAATGGATCAATAGGTAAAGGCACCTGCCAATAAGCTTGATGACCTGAGTTTGATCCCTGGGACCCACAGAGTGCAAGAAGAGAATGAACTTGGGCAAGCTGTCCTCTGATCTCCATACATGGGCTCTATGATACATGTACATGTGTACATGGGTACACACAAAATAAAGAATTGTTAAAAAAATTTTAATAACAGACATGAGTGGCTGGAGAGCTGGCTCGGTGGTTAAGAGGACTGACTGCTCTTGCAGAGGACCCAGGTTTGAGTCCCAGCACCCCCATGGCGGCTAACAACAGTCTGTAACTCCAGTCTTATGGGATTCAATGCCTTCTCATTTCCACGGGCACTGCATGATAAGGGTGCACATACACACATGCAGGCAATACACTCACACACATAAAATAAAAATAATAAATAAAATATTTTTTTAAAAAAACAGACTTGGGACTGAGGATATAGCTCAATTGTTAGAATGTTTGTCTAGAATTTATGAAGCCCTGGGTTCCATCCCAGTATTGAATAAACTGGGCATGACAGTGTTTCTCTGTAATGCTAGCACTTGTGAGATGGCAGCAGGAAGGTCAGTTCAAGGTCATCTTCCACTACTTAGTGAGTTGGAGGATATCCTGGGCTACATGAGACCCAGTCTCAAACAAAACCCCCAGACTGCCCATGTACCTAACCTCCTTATGTGTTCTTGGTAGCAGACTTGAGATATGAACGTGGGCGGGGTAACCTGCTCTGTTTTGTAGCAGGAGAAAGTGAGGTTAAGGGAGGTATGGCTGGGCCAGGATCCCAGAGCTGCTAAAGCCAGGCTTAGAATTTAGGTCGTCTCATGCGCAAATATATTACTTTGACTACTGTTCTTTCTTGCCTGCTTTTGAATCAAGAACAGGTAAAACCTTCTCCTTTTTTTCTTTTGTTGTGAAAATTACATTTGTGAGTGTGTGCGTATGTATGTACAATATGTGGAGGTCAGAAAACAATTCATGGACATTGGTTCTTTCCTTCCACCATGGGGACTCCAACTCAGGTCATTTCTGGTGCCTCCCTCACACTTACATAATGTATAGGAAGCAAGATGGGGGAAACAATTCTTTCTCCCTCTTTAAAAAAAAAAAAAATGCCTGCCTGCTTCTGCTTTTTTGTTTTGTTTTAGTTTTTTTGGTCTTTTTGAGACAGGGTCTCCCTGTAGTCCCAGTTGGCCTGGAACTCATTATGTAGACCAGGCTAGCCTTGAACTCACAGAGATCCTCCTGCTTCTGCCTCCTGAGTGCTGGGATTAAGGGTGTGCACCACCATGCCTGGCTATTTTGGTTTTTTAACCAAAATTGCTGTAGCTGGAACCCAGGACTTTGGCATGCACTCTACCACAAACCTACTCTTCTTCCACAGCCCACATTTGTTCTTGGTTGGTTTTGAGACACTGCCTCATGTAGCCCAAGCTGGTCTCCAATTCACTATGAAGGAGGCTGGCCTTACCTATTGCCTATACCTCCCAAATGCTGGGGTTACAGGTGCCACCACAGGGCCATTTGTTATTAACCATGGCAACCATCTCTGTGATTATAGCCATGGACTCCAGAGGGAAGTGTCTGAATTTAAACCTTGGCTGTATCCTGTATACACGTTACACTTTGAGGAATAAATCAACTCTTCTTGGCCTCCCGATTTTTTTTTTTCTTTTTCTAGTCAGTCTTACTGTGCCTAGGCTGTACTTGAACTCACAATTCTCTTGCCTTAGTCCTCTAAATGCTGGGATTACCAGTGTGCTACTAAGCCTAGCTGTGACTGTTTTTTTGTTTTTAATCTGTAAAATGGGAGTCAAGAGATTTAGTGGGGTTGCTGTGAGGATTTTATAAAATAGGGGGTTGGAGAAATGGCTCAGTAGTTAAGAGCACTGCTGCTCTTGGAGAGGACCCAGGTTCGATTCCCAGGATCCACATGTCGGCCAACACCCGTCCCTAACGTTAGTTTCAGGGGATCCGATGCCGTCTTCTGACCTCCACAGACATTGTACGACATGGGTGCACTTACACATTCAGGCAATACACTCAGACAAAAATAATAAAGTATTAAAAAAATAAACAAAGGCATCTTCCCCAAGACTTGCCACACTGTCTCAGGAACTTTTCTAACTACTTTCCTTGTACCACTTCATTGAACAAGCACAACATCGTAGCCTCTGGTAAAATGGCTTAGAGTTGTCAAGTCACTCTCCAGAGTCGTGAAAGTTCCAAGGAAGTAAAAACTCGAACCCAGAACCTCCCAAGAAGGAAAGCATGGGCAGGAGGCATGGCTCAGACGCTGTAAGGGCTTTCTCCAAACACCTGTTACTCGCTACTGATCCATGCTCAGGCACATCTAAATTGATAACTTGAAGCTCTGATCAATTGTAGACGTCATCAAACAGGATTTGGGGAGAGAAGAGTCTTCTACAAGAGTTTAGAGGAGCTGCTTTAATTTAGGCCTTACTTAGCTGCAGAGTGGACGGAGAATTACTGGGGTCTCGGGAGACTTTTCCAACTTTGTCTCTAGAAAGCCGAAAATTCCGTGCACGAACCGCCCAAAATCCGTCGGCTGAGGTTTTCACCCTCTGTGGGGACAATAGGGACGCGTCCCCTTTAAGGCGCCAGCTCCCTGGCGGCGGCGGCCGGAAGTGTTGGAGCCCGGCTTGGCGGCGGCGGTGGCGGTAGCTGCCGTGGCGGCCTGTGCGCAT